GAGTTTAAGGTTGCTGACCCCTGGTCTTCACCTTATGAGACAAAGAGGAAAATATCTCCTAAATATGATCAAAATGGCAGATCCCTAACTTCGCAGGGAAAGAGACAGTGAATTATTATGACTGATTTCCTTTAGTTATTTTTTAGTTTTATCTAAGCTAGAATGAGGAGTTTGAGGAGAAGTTAAAAAGAAAGGGCTGTCTGTGTGTGGACAGCTCCACCATGTGACTGTTTATAAAGTAGCACACATTTCAAACAGTTTTGACTGAACACAGTGCTATTTGTGGTGATTTTGAGGTTTCATAAACCATCAGCTGGGCTCCTACTTCTTGTGTGTTGCTCATTCAGTTAAAAACATTTTTGATTACTCTATTCCTTTATACAGTCTTACAGTAACTCTAAATTTAGTTAGTTCTCTCTGACATAAAGGTAAAACATGCCAAAATAATTCATAACAATAGGAACAGTTTTTGTCAGTTAAGATCTTGTCTATAAAAAGCTCAGTTTCAATACTTATGACTCTTTTCACATCAAAATATCAAATATCTGTTTGTTGCCTGAGCTTTTAGGTGAAAAATGTGCTTAACCTGATTCTGAATTTTGTTAGATCCAGTGTATTTTGTTGTAGTTGTGTGTCTGGTTGTCTTTTCCTTTCACATAGAGTTTTGGCAAGTGAATACAATTGGCCAAGATTCTCCCTTTTTGCCTAACAAATTTCTTTAAAATAACTGCACTGAGGTGATTTAATGGGACTGTACACCCAAAGGAATGCAGAGAGACTTTTGTGTAATATAACATAGTCAACAGTTAATTTAGTTGAAACCTCTGTTCTTTTCATTTTTGTTGCATTACATTTTACATCGTTAGGTTAAGTTCCTGATAGGCTTAAAGGTTTTGGTTAAGCTAGCTTGATGGCTTGAGTCAGAATAGTTCCTAAAATCAAAATGCCTTATTCTAAATAATAAATCCATCTCGGGGGACATTAAGGAATAGTTACTTTAAATAATCCATAATTATATTTCTTAAATTAATTGTTATATACTTATGAGCTGTCATTGTCTCATTTTGCACAGTTACATTTTTCTGAGTTAAGAGAATCTGGGAGGAAGTAGAATTTGGGCCAGAAGACAGCAAAGGACTACCAAATTTTAACTGTCCAATTCAAACCTAAGAGTACATGCTGTGTGTGAAAGAATTTCACTTCAATTGACTTCTTCATTTGACCAAAGTTTACTTTGTCACACCTCTCTCTCAGTCAGCAAGCATCTCTCTTTATCCTTGTCAATGCATGCAGACAAGTTGCTAACGATGTCATTTCAGTGTCATTTCATTGAGTTAATCAGGAGTTGAGTCAGACAAGTTAAAAATCGTATACTTATTATATACTGATTTTGCTAAGATTCTTAAGACACAACATATATAGAATGTGTTTTATTTTCCTGAGCTGGCCCAAAGTGGAATATTCTGGGAATTACAAGCAAGCAAATTTTGAATGAGTGCTTATGCACAGTTTTGACTGATGGCTATATTGGTGGGAACAATTTAGAGGAAATCCTCAATATGTGGTTCCATCAGGAACTTAAATGTTTGTCTAAACTGAATTACATCAGGTAAATAGTCACTGAAGGTGATAGATTATCTCAAGAACTAAATGGATTGATAATTTAATGATCGTAAAGAAAATGTTGGCAATCAAGGCTGTTGAAACAGTGAATTACTTTTAAACTGTGCAACTATCCAACCATTAATCCATTTTCTATGCTGCTTATTCCAAGCTGGGTTGCATGTGTCACGTCTGGTGTCTCGTCTTGTCTTGATTACCTATTGTGTACACCTGGGGTTCCCCTCCCTCATGTGTTTAAATAGTCCTCGTTTCCCCTGGTCTTGTGCGAGTGCGTTCTTGTCCGTCTGTCCTTCGTCACCCTGTTGGGTCTAAATACGACTCCTAGTTCCTCACTATCAAGAGTTTAGTTATTATTCAATAGACCCAGGAAGAGGCATCAGAATAAAAAGGCTTGACACAGAGGTTAAGTTTTTCTCAACTGCAGAAGAGGGAGAGACTGTGTGGCCAGAGAATGCCACACATAGAATCTCACCCCGCATTCTTCAAGCAGTCGATTTTTATTAGATTGATAGTTGATAAGCAGTGTACGTATTATGAGATAGGAAAGTATTGGACGTCATGCCCTTATCAGGTTTTTCCCGGTAGTTGGCCTGTTGACGTCCAGACCTTGGAAGATACAGATGGTAGACAGATGGGAATCAAAACACACATATTTTAGCTTGTCACTGATGTAAATACGAAAAATAGCTTCTACACACCCCCACGCCAGGTTTGCTTTTGTCATAGTCACAGTTTTGTCACAGTCTTGTTAATCTTTATTTTGTTACTTTGTCAGTCATAGTTTTGCCTTAGTCTTGTTGTTCTTTATTTTGTTACTTTTGCCTTTGCTCACAGTCTTCCACAGCTTTGATTTGTACTTTGTCTGGAAATTCACTCATGAGTTTTTTGTTACAATAAACCTTGTTTTCCGTCATCTCCGCACCTGAGTCCTCCCTAAAACCCACCCTCATGACAGCATGAGGGGGAAGAAAAGGGAAAGCTTCTGCTTGTTGAGTGTGGCCTACAACACAAGCTGACAATGATCTGTTGGGAACGGCAGAAGCATTTGCCTCTTGTAGTTTTGGACTGCGAATACTGTGCACATCTCTCTGAATTACAACTGTAATCTGTTAAAATATTGTTGCATTTTCTAAAGCTGTCTTGCCACTGCCCAGTTACAACTAGAAACATTTCTTGATTAACCTTGGAACGAATGTTAAGCAATAATTTATCACATGCTGTTGTCACCACTCTATTTATTTACCGTGCAGTATGTTTGGGGGTTATCTTCACTTAGCAAGGTTTAAAACTACTTAGTTTGGGATCCTATCGATTCCAACTATCCATTGTTGGGACAAAATTAGGTTCTTCATCTTACACAATCAACAAAAGTTTTATAAAGTTTAGATTTTACAAGCAGTTTCTCCTTTGAGGACTAGACAGTGCATTTTATAGTCAGATATTTATAGTTTGAATTTGTTTATGCATTTGGCAGACGCTTTTATCCAAAGCGACTTACAGAGTAGACACAATATTACATTTCTCATCACTATGACAATAAGCTATATAGAGGAGAAACACTGATCAGAGTCAGTGGTGACAGCAATAGATAGAGGTAGAGGGGACCACAGAAGGAGTTGTTGGGGGGGGGTAGAGGTACGGGTTAGGGTTAGGATAGGAGATGCTCTTTGAAGAAGTGGGTCTTCAAGAGTTTCTTGAAGGCAGACAGGGACTGTGCTGTTCTTGTGGCGCTTGGTAGGTCGTTCCGACATCTTGGAACGACACATGCAAACAGTCTGGATTGTCTTAAGCGTGGTGAAGGCACTGCTAGACGACAATCCATTGATGACCGGAGTGATCGAGTTGTGACATAAGCCTTTGCAAGAGGATTCAAGTAGATGGGAGTATGAATGAGCATATTTCCTATGGGGACATATATAGGTCCAGTTGGGATACATTTGGGTGGAAGAATCCTCAGCTACTCTGTAACTGATAGCTCTCCCAACCCCCTGTAACCCCCTGTTCTTTCGGACAACATTTTAGAATGAGAACACTTCTCATATCTTTAGGTTGTATTTATTACTATTCAAACCAACAACAAAAAAAGAAAAATGTGGTCAAGTGGTCAAATGGAAAAGAATGGACAGATCTATATGAATACAAATTGATTTATTATGGAGTCTTTGGATACATTATTGATGGATAATCAAAAGCAAAGGAAATTGCATGTTTTAACGGTTTAACTGCATAAATTGCCAAACACGAAAATGACACATTTTCTATGTGACCATTCAATTGAAACTGTATATTTGTACTAATGGGACAGTTCTCCGTAACTGTGTTTCCTCATGAAAGGAACATTAAAATAAATAATAATAATTTTTTGTCTATTGAAAGTATTATCAGTTTATACAATTAACATGTGGGAAATAGGGTGTCTGTTAACATATACTTTGATAGGTAATTTCACAGTAAGTATTTAGTTAGTTTTTTAAAAAATATTATGATGGAACTCAACATCTTTGTCTCTTTTTTACATTTCTTATTTTTTGTGCTTACCTGCTTTTACCAAACTTCAACCCATCAACATTTGTCTGATGTTTTCCCTCAGTGCAAGTCCCACAGGGCTGCAAAAGGGGTTTCCTCTGCAAACAGAGCTTCTTTTATCAACTGAAACCAGAGCTGTGAGCATTCCACTGTGCTGGCCCCGATTCGAGACCTAAATTCTTGTTGAAATAAACCAGATTCCCGCTGAGAGTGCAAACCTATCCCAGGCTCCTTGGTAACTGCCTCCTTCAAGGTGGACAATCAGTGTCTTTGTGAAGCCAAGCTGATCCCAGCCGGTTGATTCTAAGGAAGGTTCCACTCATAGGTCCCTCAGTAGAAAAGTCTCAACCAAGCCGCTGATTTGACCAGCATCAGAAACCAAGGATTATTCCGAATAAAATAAGTTTTCAGAGATCTCAGGATGGATGCAATACCTGATTTATGCTTGCTGCAACGTAAGAGCTACATGTGTTTCCCTGGTGGATTTTTGCTGAATGAGGTCAACATTTTCAGACTGATTTAATGGCATGGGGATATTACCTTTTCTGTGGGAATACCTGACAACAAGACGGATGCTTCACCAACTAAGAGGTATGATTTTTTTCTCTCTATCTTCTGTGTCCTGCAGTTAGTACAGTTATATTTACAATTTCCCCAAATTTCCACCATTTTTAAATCACAAGAAAGATCAGCTTTGCCAAGAGGAATTTACTTTGTCAAGACCCCTAAAAACTGAGATTATGACCTGAACAAGAAAATCAGCTCAACACAATGGCTACTTTTCTTGCTGCACTTTTTTTTCTTGCCCCCTCACAATGTGTCCAAAACGAAATGTTTATGCAACACAAGGAAGAATAGTAACAATACTCAAATTCATAGATGGTTAAAAAGCTTTAAGGTGTTTTTAATTCAAGTCCAAGGGGCACAGTCAATAAGTCAGTCAGGGAATTAGACAGCATTCAATGTTAGACCACTTAACATGCTTTATTTCAGCATTCAAAATAATTAAAAACATCTCAATTTATTATACATATACAAAATAGGTACAGATCCTTGTGGTGTTTTCCCCCATGGGTATGTCTTTCTGACTTCTCTCACAAACTCATTGCTGATGGCTCTCTTTCAGGCCAGTATATCTAATCTCTGATTCCAATTTGACTTGCCATTGTGATTAGAAATGTCACCTGTCACACATGGGAACAAGAAACAAACTATGACAGATGCATGAATGTAAGGGTGGAAAAGAAAAGGTGAAGGGCTACGTTTAGGACACACAAAAAAACTGTGACGAAAAGATTCTTGACCCATTTTTCACTCTCAGAGAGTGACAATTTGACTGTCATTGCTTTTAAATAGAAGAAGATTGTCTCACTCTGGGAATCAAGACATTAAGCTGTGGTTTTGTTTTAGCACCAAGATGATCCTGCCTTGCCAGAGTGACCAAAACATGACAGAACAGTTGAGCCATACCGGACAACCAGCAGCCAACTTATAAAGAATAGCACCTTAAGTTTGAGTTGTTTCTGCTTCTTTTTAAAGTGTCAGTAAACTTCAACTACCCCGCGACCGCCACGACTGCTGCAGGCTTCACTTTAAAAACACAGGGACCTTTGTCATAGCTGGAACTCCTTTCCCTTTTTTGAGGTAGCCGTTTTCCTTTACATCAAAAAAAGAGGTTTAAACCCATGTTTATCTGCTGTTGATTTTAATGGGACTTTTCTTCAGATGAAAATTGAGAAATAGATTTAAATAAACACGAAAGCAATGGGAACAACAGACAAATTACAACAGCTGCAACATCTGAAGATGAGGTGGAGGAGGGAGATGTCAACACTGTCTGTGGCAGGTGAAGCAGAATGGGGGGGGGGGGGCAGAACAACAGAGACAAACGTGGCTGTCAGTTTCACCGTTTATTCATCAACACCTGAAACGTGGTACAAAGCAATTGGGTTCGGTCTGTTGGGACTGTCCTTTCATTCCTCAGAGCGCAGAGGTGTATAAAATACAAAAGTCACCTGTGTGTTTCTGTAAACTCCGGAGAGGCCTGGTTGGGCCGGATGAGGAGGGAAGGTTTCTTGTTTTTTTTCTACACTTTACAGAGGCATATATTATTTTCTTGTTGCCAGGTAAACAAATGTCTTCTCTACAATATCCATGGTGTTGTTGATGGCAAAAAAGACAGACCAAAAAAAAAAAAAAAAACGAGTCAAAAAGAAAAAAGTAGTGGTCCCAAACGCAACGATGCAGATGCCACACCGCCGCAATCTTATTCTTTTTGAAGTGCAGGCTTTAGGCAAAGTGGACCATCGGAAACAACAGCCAAAAGGACACTTGTAGAATCTGGAGTGAGGGGTTGGATTTTTTCAGAAAAATGACATTGGTAGAATGTTTTGGTGGGGTTGATTTTTTTAAGGGAGAGATGACTGCTAGAAAATAATAAAACACTCACACGCTCACACACACAACAACAATTTCAAGTCCAGATTTCTCTTTTTACAAGAAACAGACAGGTCCAACTTCAAGGCCAAACTCTTGGTCTGGAGCACCAACGTCCATAGGAGCAATATCAATGATGGGCAGGCGAGATGTTTTCGATGTCTTGTAATCAATAACTGTCTTTCCCCATGTACCGGTGTGTGACTGGAAGGGAAGGAAAAAAAGTTTAATTAATGTCAACATTTGACATAAATGTTACTTAATTATGTAAATGTATCAAATATTGCTATTTGAACTCATATAACGTCTTAAAAAACAAGCGCTACAATATGACTTAAGTAAATTCCTATATGTCCTTGTTTCCGAGAAGGATTAGATTTATGCTAAACAGTAATGCTCTAATTCCTTGTGTCTTGTCAGTTGTAGAATGGCATATTATGAATTTGAAGATTATTCAGTTGTATATGAAGCAGGGATGGGAGCATGGACTAGTGTTTCCTCACCGTGCATCCATCCTCCAGGACGCTGTAGGTGAAACGGCTGTTGCCCTCAGCCCTGATCTCAATCTCGTTGGAGCCCTGGAGCAGAAGGGCCTTCTTGAGATTACCGGCGGTGGCATCCATGTAGGCAACGCTGTTCTTGCAGTGGTAGGTGATGTTCTGGGATGCCTCAGTGGACATGAGACGTAGGAAGGTGAGCTGGATGTTCACATCCTCTGGCTGAGAGCCCTCACTGCCATACTCAAACTGCACAAGAAAGACAAAAGAGGGAGAATTATGGAATGAAACTGAGGGAGGAAAGATACTAATGTATACTGTAAAAAAATCATTGCAAAGGATGTTCAAAAGAGAAACAAGAAATGACAGGATATATGCAGCCTCAGCTTGTTTACCTGGAAGCCGTCGTTCATAGCCTCTCCGAACCAGACATGCTTCTTCTCCTTGATGTTCTTGCTCATGTACCAGTTCTTCTTGGCAACATCGCGCTGAGTTGGTGACACACAGGTCTCTCCAGTCTCCATGTTACAGTAGACCTTGATGGCATCCTGAGTGCAGCCCTGGTCAGGATCAATCCAGTATTCGCCTGAACAACAGCAAGAGAGTGGTTAGAAGAATAAAACAAAAAAACAACAATCTACCTAACAGATCTACTAAGACCAAAGTTACCAGTTATGGTAATGGTGCCTAAGAAAAAAAGTCATCATATGTATGGCAGAGTGGGCCACTGTCACTCCATTCTTGGAAACTCACCACTCTTCCAGTCAGGGTGGCACATCTTGAGGTCCCGGCAGGTTCTGGCAGGGTTCTTTCTGGTTCCATCTGGGCTGCGGATCTGCTCGATCTGCTGGCTCAGGCTTTTCAGAGTGGTGTCAACCTCCAGGTCACGGTCACGAAGAACGTTGGCGTCATCAGCACGGAACATGCGGAAAGGATCTGGGGCCTTCTCCTGGGGCTGGGAAAGGAATCCAAGGTCGAACCCACCACCAGGGGCACCAGGGGCTCCAGGAGGTCCAGGGGGTCCAGGAGGACCCTAAGAAGTTGAGAGGGTTTGGTTAATTCAAAGAACGTTACAAAAAGGTTGTGAGAAACAATGTGAGAACATAAATGCAATGGTAGTTTGACTAAAACGTACAGCGGGTCCCATCTCTCCAGAACGTCCACGAGGTCCAGGAGGTCCAGTGGGTCCAGGAAGGCCAGACATACCATCCTTACCAGGACTTCCAGCAGATCCAGCAGGTCCCTACAAATAGCCAGAAGAAAACTCCCCAGTCAGATTCTACCAGTAATTCTGACAATAGTTTTTAATATTCAAGATAGCGTGGTATTTCCACTTACTCTAGGTCCAGCGGCGCCAGCTGAACCAGCAGGTCCGGGCTCTCCAGATGGTCCCTAAGAATTCATACACAGAACAGGGTTAGAGGCTTATCGTCTTGTTAACAGGCAATATTTTTAGCCCAAAATAATGTGACTTACAGCAGGTCCAGGAGGTCCATGCGTTCCAGGGAATCCTCTGTGTCCCTTCATGCCTCTTTCTCCAGCCTCTCCAGTTTCTCCCTTGTCTCCACGAGCTCCAGCGGGTCCCTGTTAGGATGTTATGTCAGACATTCTATCCAAACTGATAACATGTTAATTGTATGGATTTTGGTACTTACTCCTGGGCCACGAGAGCCAGCAGGGCCAGCAGGACCAGCAGGGCCAGCAGGTCCCTGGAACATACAGAATATGTTTAATCTAATGTTTGGTTGCAAGAAAAGCCATCCATACATGTTCTATACTGCTTATTCCGAACAGGCTTGCGGGGGGCTGGAGCCTTTCCCAGCTGACAGAATAAAAGCCAAGTTAGCTCAAATTTGGGAACAATGCCTGACTGGGTTTAAGCAGAAAACTGAAAAAACAGAGTGACTCACAGTCTCTCCACGGTCACCGCTCTTTCCAGCAGGTCCAACAGGTCCAGGGGCACCAGGGGGTCCTGGGGCACCAGGTGCTCCAGCAGGGCCGGACTCTCCACGGTCTCCCTAAAGCATAAATCAACAGTTAACCTTACCCATTGAGATTTTTAACCTTGTCCTGGCAGTACTGAAGGAAATAACCTTCAGCCAAAGAGACTAAGACGCTGCACAAAAAAAAAAAAAAAAACTTCGTCTTGTGTCACCATTCAAATATGTTGATGATTTTACTGGATCCAGGACAACCCATTGTGTTAACGTGGTGTTTCTAAATTAAAATAATAAGTGGATATTTAGACACCGATACCCCTGTTTCTTTGAGCTAACCTTTGGTCCAGGGGCACCATCACGACCAGCTGCACCCTCGTTACCAGGGGCACCCTACAACACAAACACAGCAAGTTTACTGACTGAAAAAAAAACAATAGAGAAGAAAATTGAAGTATGCATCCCTGAGCCTTGTTGTGTTCTAATGGTTTATTACCTCACGTCCAGCCTCGCCAGGGGCTCCAGCAAGACCAGGTGGTCCCATGGGTCCGGGAGGTCCTCGCTCACCACTGGGGCCAGCAGGTCCCTGCTTTCCAAGCTCACCCTGTGGGAGACACAGTCACCCTTAGTCCATTAATAATATCTTATTTATAATTGACTTAAACTTATATAAATTCATATTGTGCTTGTAATGAACACAAAGTTTATTGGAATTTCCCTATTATTCTGAAACTTTTTATTCTAATCAATATACTTGAATTTGGAATCATGACTAGTTCTAAAACACTTGTTTCAAGATATTTGCTGTCCTGGCCTCATAGCTTCTGCATTTGTATGAAATAAAAATCTAAGAGTTCAGAAATAAACTTACAGAAGGTCCAGGCAGGCCAGGGAAACCCCTCTCTCCTCTCTGTCCAGGCAGACCAACAATACCACGCTGTCCAGCAATACCAGCAGGTCCAGGAATACCAGCAGGTCCCTGCAGAGGGCAGCAAAGAGACACAGAGTGACAGTAGTTAGGAATTAGTTAAGAAGTAGTTAGCCCAGAAGAACCCCAAAAATTACTTAACACTGATAATAAACATGTGAAAACCTGATATAGTAGCACTACCAAATTCAATATTCCAGGATTTCAAATATTTTAAAGATTTTACTGGCATGTTGACTCACAGGAGATCCCTCAGCACCAGGGTTACCCTTCTCGCCAGGAACTCCTGAAGGTCCAGCAGCACCAACTTCACCAGGGCGACCAGCAGGTCCAGTCTCACCACGGTTTCCTTTGGGTCCTTCTTTGCCAGCAGGTCCAGAAGGACCGGGAGGTCCAGGATTGCCCTATACAGTCAGGTAAAGGATATATTTTCAACAATGGGGAAAAATGGGGCTCTGAGACCTGTTGTCGAAAGAAAATCTAGGAATAACATCTCTGATGGACTTACAGCAGGGCCAGGAGGTCCAACTCTGCCAGCAGCGCCAGGGAAGCCAGTAGCACCCTATATTGGAGGGCAAAGGATACATTTTAGCAAATTAATTAATTCAAGCTTAAATAACACCCTCTATTCATCTTGAAAACAAAAAAGAAAAGTTAAATTAAGCAAATAAGGAATAATATGCTGCACATAACACTATCTCTAGAATAGTCAATTTCCAAATATCTTGTTCTTACGAAGCAAAATAAAAAAATCAACTGCTTTCTGACCAAAGAACAAGCAAGCTGAGATCTAATATGCTGGGATAACAATCAATATAAAATAAGAGAATCACTAAATGTAACATGGATGGTAACTTACAGGAGGTCCAGCAGGGCCACGGGCTCCCTTGGGGCCAGTGTTTCCAACGGGACCCTTTAAGTATAAAGCACAGTCTTAGTCAGCACTGGAGAATCAGCAGTAGACAACAAACTGTAGAAACAGATTTCTATTCTAGTTACTTGAAGATACTGTTCATGAAATGTAATTTGATTTGAATAGAATCATCAAACCTGGGGTCCAGGAGCACCAGTAGGTCCAGAAGGGCCTGGGGGACCAGAATCTCCCTTAGCACCATTGTCTCCAGCCTCTCCCTTAGCACCTGGCTGACCATCAGCCCCCTGAGGTGAAGAAGTGTGTTGGGTTAGTTAGGTTAGAGCGAATAAAAAAAAAAAAGTAACAAGTTAAGAACAATGCGGGAAAGAAAAATATTCAGCAAAATACTGAGTGAAAAAAATTACTGATTGAACTGTCGTGGAGAAAGACTTACAGGAGGTCCTGCGAATCCAGCAGGTCCAGGTGGTCCAGCCTCTCCTCGCTCTCCCTGTTAAACATGAGAAAGATTTAACCCATGGTTTTAAGATTAAAAAATCTGATAGCCAGAGAACGTAGAATCAAAGTTTAATTTCAGCAGAGTGGGTATTCTCACTCACAGGGGCTCCACGAGCTCCAGCAGGTCCAACTGCTCCCTGGGCACCAGGCTCTCCCTTGTCTCCAGGGGCTCCAGCAGGTCCGGGAAGTCCAATTGGTCCAGTCAAGCCACGGGGACCATCTTTACCAGCAGCTCCATCAGCACCCTTGGCTCCTTGGTCACCCTAGGACATTGAAGGGACAAGGGGCATTAGTTATACGAGGAGAGATCAGAAAAAACATTAGATTTTGCTGGGCTGATGCTTTAATAACGTATTGGGATTATCTCTAGATAAACTTAAGGATTTGGTCAATGAGACATCATTTGATACACTTTTTACGGCATTTTTTACATAATTATCCTGGAAATGACAAGAGTTTTGAAAAACACTCACTCTGTCACCCCTCAGTCCAGGAAGACCAGCAGCACCACGCTCACCAGGCATTCCCTGCAGTCCAGGAGGGCCCTGGGCTCCAGGAGCACCGGGGGCACCTGCATCTCCCTGAAGAAAAGAAGACAAAATTACAAATTTCATTTAGATCCTTTAGATCCTTGAAAAAACCCACTGAGAATCCATTAATCTTCCAAACATACCTTAGCACCCTCATTTCCAGCTGCTCCGGGGGATCCACGAGCACCAGCAGGTCCATTAGGGCCAGGTGCACCGCGCTCACCTGGGAATCCTCTGTCACCCTGAATGGGAAGAGGTATCAAACCTTTAAGTATTAATTTTTCAAAGGTTTACAAACAAAAGTAATTACATCAGACAATATTATTAATTACATCAGACAATATTATTTGTTTAGCTTAAAAAATTGTTTGAAAATTATCTTGTGCACATGAAAGCCTTTAGGTGTATTTGGAAAACATTAGCTGGCTTACTACTAGCTTCCGGCAATTTATTTTGAAGCACTATTGAACTACTTTCAATGGCCATAATTGAACCTGTCACTGTCACTGTTAACATAGTTTCTTTGTAGTATGTTTTAGTGGAAACCTTAATAGATTCATACATACAATATTGTGTAATTTTTACACACTAATAGACAGTCCTGTCGTGTATTCATAATTCATTAACGGTAAATGCTGGGACTACAGCACAAAGCTAATGTAAAAGCAATGATTATCATGAACTTACTCTAGCTCCAGCAGGTCCTGGGGCTCCAGCCTCACCGGGCAGACCCTGTACATGACAAATAATAATAGAAAGAGGAAACTCATTCAGTAAGAGGTGGGAATTTGATCAAAGTTTTTCAGAATAATTATTTCTTAGTGTATACCTGCTCTCCAGGTTTGCCAGTCTCACCAACAGCACCCTGTGGTCCTGGAAGTCCCTGGAATCCAGCGGCTCCAGCAGCTCCCTGCTCTCCTCTCTCACCAGGGGGACCCTGAGGATGGCAAGAACGACAATGTTAGTGCAAAAATTAATAACAATAAGTAATGTGTGATTATGGTTGCACTACAGGGTACAGCCAGATGTTATGGTGAGAATGCATATTATCTTTACTTACAGCTGGTCCAGTAGGACCCTGGGCGCCAACATCACCGTCTTTCCCAGGAGCACCCTGGGTACAAATATAACAAGAGACATACATTTACTCGCTTCTATAACTGTCAAAAAAGTAGCTGAGTAGAAAAATCAAAGACAGGTACATTGTAAATAACTTACAGCAGCGCCAGTAGGTCCCATGACTCCTCTCTCACCAGGCTTTCCAGCCTCACCCTGTACAGGAACAAATCAAATAAGCAAAGAAAGAATTGTGAACAACAGACTTAAAAGGACTTGGTTTCAGATGGTCATTATCAACAAACACAAACTATTATCCCTAAAACTATAAACTGATACAAAGTACAGTATAGCAGTTGAAACCATACTCACAGCAGCTCCCTTGGGTCCAGGGAATCCCATGACTCCAGGTTGGCCTCTAGCTCCAACAGGACCAGGTGGTCCAGGGCGGCCGTCTTGTCCAGGGTTTCCCTGGTGAGATGGATTAGCGAATAATTAATTTAGCTAAAGAGACTGGATATAAACTTGTTGGTTGAGAGATTAACTTTGCCAAAAAATATTCTTACAGCAGGTCCTGTCTTGCCATCAGGTCCAGGGTTGCCAGGGCTGCCAGTCATACCCTATAGAACAAAGGGTCAGAAGTTAGAGGCTGGATATTTGATGTAGAAATGATCTTGCTGGCAAAACAGGGTAAAATGAAAAGATAACTTGCCTTTGCTCCAGGCAAACCAGGCTCACCAGTGCGACCAGGCTCACCAGTGGCACCTTTGGGTCCAACAAGACCAGGGGCACCACGCTCACCAGTGGCACCCTATGGGGACAGAAAGGAAGGGAGGAAAGGGTGACGGAAAGGCAAAGATTAATAAAAGTGATACCAGATCTAACATATATGGAAATCAGAAAGTAAAAAGTGTGGCCATGCTTTGTATTTACTTTGGGTCCAGCAGGGCCATCAGAACCAGGGAAACCACGACCACCAGGGGCACCCTGTAGAGGAAACCAAACACATTTACTTAACCATGTGGGAAAAAAATCTGTGTTATTCAAACCAAAACAGCCAAAAACCGTTTGCACGTCTTAAGTGTTGACTTAAGTATTTGAGGTCATTGCATATTAGCTTTGCATTTACAAAAGACTAGTAAGAATTCATAATTAGAATAATTCAGGGGGTGACTGTTAAATCACCACTCCATGGTGATAGCATAAAGACACAAACAGTGTTTCAGACTGGCAATATTATTACCAAATATTTGCATCTAATAAGGTATTTTTAAGGAGCCAACTGTTTCTGGTCAATGTGCATCTTAAAACATGACAGAGGGATATATAATTTCCATATATCAACTAGAGAAAATAATAATAATAATAATAATAATAATAATAATAATAATAATAATAATAATAATAATAACAATAATAATAATCATAATAATAATCATAATAATAATCATAAAAATAATGGATGCAGTCAACTAATCAAAACTTAAATATATATAGGGACTAAAAATGTAATGGCTTTCTAAGCATACCAGCACTTAAAGCACAGCACAGTTACGGTTATTTCTGAGTAAAATACATATTATAAGTACAAGTGAAAGTGATACATACACGCTCTCCAGGAACTCCACGACCTCCTGCAGCACCAGGCTCTCCTCTAGCTCCTCTCTTGCCCTCCTCACCAGGAGATCCTGGGGGTCCCTGAACACCTGGTGCACCCTGGAGAAAATAAACACACAGATGGCTTCAGTTCCTGCGTGTGTAACACACATGAACTCTTTGCCGATTTGTGGGGAACTTACGGCTTCTCCCTTAGCACCGGACTCTCCCTTGGCTCCGGGGGCACCAGACTCACCCTGTTGGGCAAAAACAAGGGAGTGTCAACTATAATGCAACGGGAAAATAAGAAATGACTCTCTTCTGCTTAGATATCAAGGCAATAATGAGGCAACATATTTAGTCAATACAAAGCCTTTTGTGAGCCTTTGCTAATCCCTGAGTAGAGCTTTACTTACAGTGTTACCCTTGGGACCAGCGGCACCAGCTGCACCCTGAGGTCCTGGAGGTCCACGTGGTCCAGGGAAACCTGGGGCACCAGCAACTCCAGCAGCACCCTGTAGGGGGCAGCACAGAACAACAACATAGTCACATCATGCTCTATGTATTTGTTTTGGTGATTAAGTGAAAACATAAAAAGGAACTTGGGCTTCTTTAATGGTGCCTTGTTCAAGAATTTTAGCCAGAGGGAGATATTTTTCAAAGAAACTCACAGGTGCTCCCTTAGCTCCAGGGGCTCCATCAGCTCCAGGGTTTCCCTAACAGGACAAATCAATTGAGAGGATTCATTTTAGATACAGATTTGATAATCTATGAAAGCAAGATCAGTTAATTGTGGAGCTCTATGCTTACAGAGGGTCCAGCAGCGCCAGCAGGACCAGGATTTCCAGGCTCTCCACGGGCTCCAGCAGGACCCTCAGGTCCACGAGCACCCTGAGCTCCAACTTCACCCTATTTAGATGAGGAAATGATGAACAGGATTTAGATGGTTGACCTAGCTATGGTAATTCATTATGAAGGAAGAAGTGACGTTAAAGTTATAGTAGTAAAAGGGACTGCTACCTTTTACTGTGGGGAAATAAAAAACGTAATAATTTCACATATCAACAAACCATTCTGAGTTTCTTAAAGCAAAGCTTATGCATTAGCACTAGATAATGAGCAATGCTGCTATCCTACTATCTGAATGATTGTTTATATATTTTATTTGAAAAGTTGACCATTTAACAGATTACTAACCACTTACAGATATAAAGGGAAATGCATTAGTTTGCCCTAGAGTACTGGACAATGAAAGGAAATAGGATGAGATGCTGGTTTGGTTCAGAGAGTAAGGCAGATTAAAAAATGTAGCATGAAGCTGATGTTAGGGGTGTGGATCATGCTGGGCATAATAGTACCTTGGCTCCTGGGCCACCAGGGAATCCGGGAGGTCCAGCGGGGCCAGTGGGACCCTGTAAACAAATAAAAACGATTTAACAAAGATTCAAAAGAAAGAAATATTTTATCTGTGGGATTTAATGAATTGAACAAACTGTTAAAATATCAATGTTTCTAAGCAGAATATAGTGATATCTAGTGGCAGAAATGACTAACTGCAGTAATTCGAATGCCCCAAACACAACCCCAAATCCCAAATGATTATGGCTACAAAACATCTGGTCACAGAGAAGAGGGTGACTTGACTTCTTTTCATGTGACTCTATGTTGATAAAATGACATTTTTATTATATTACATGCTGATGTCAGTAGACTGACCCACATGTTACATAGAGGAGCTTTAATGACTCTGACCTACAATCTAATAAACAAACAGACTTACAGGAGGTCCAGCAGCACCAGCAGCACCATCGTTACCACGAGCTCCCTGCAGCAAACACACAATAATGTAATATTCTTCTAATCAACTGACAGATTAATATATTCTTGTAGTTTAAAGTGTGCGACTGGACTCACAGCAGCTCCAGCAGGACCAGTGCGGCCTCTCTCACCGGGCAAACCACGAGGTCCCTGAGAGGGAAACAGAGGGAGTTGGTCAAAATTATACTTGAAAGGATCAAATGAAAGATAGCCCCTATATTAAAACGGACAGTTGTCCCTTTCACTCACCATAGCACCAGGAGTTCCATTCTCGCCAGAGGCTCCAGCCTCTCCCTTAAAATGCAGGCACAAACACCAAATGAGAGACACAACACAAAATGGCTGCTACTAAACCAGTATGTTTGATGCAGCTATAGCTAACAGTATGCCTGCAACTATTACTCCCACATGTATTTTCCTTTCTGATGCTGGCTAAAACACGACAATGTCCAGCAACAATGACAAAGCAGGAAAGGCTGAGACCCTCTTTAAATAAGAACCGCAACAAATCATCTTGAACTTGAAGGCTTTATCATTTATGACATAAATCTGCCATTAAAATCTTGAGGGACTTGAAAACATGTTTTCATATAGATTTCAGTCTACAGAATATAAGATGTTGGATCCTTTACACGTAATAAGAACTGGTTTTGGCCAGTTGCAAATATCAAAAGTTGAGGATATTTCAAGCTTCTTTTTTACTATATTTTAGCTTTTACCACGACAATTAGTAACCTCTGCAACAAGTTTACTTAAAGTAAAAGCACTATACTAAAGTTGCTATCAATTAGCATAAACATTTAAACCACTTCTTCTACAACTACAAGTACTGTTGATGTTAGATTTGCTTTTATTCAAGCTAAACCAGTGGTATTCCTGACATTTCCCATTGGGAGGTCAACATTTATATATCATATGTAGTGTATCAGTCACCTTGGGTCCAGCAGGGCCACTGTCTCCCTTAGCACCATCCAGACCACTGAATCCCTAATGAGAAAATGAGTCACACAAATATAAAGACCCCAGCACAAGGATAAATTTAAGGAAAATTTAAATGATGAGTATTTTTAATTTATAGACTCACTCTGTGTCCCTTGATGCCGGGCAGTCCAGGGGTTCCTGGGAAGCCACGAGCTCCCTAATGGCAACGCAGTCTATTAAATTAACTGTGTTTTCTTTTTTTTTTTTACAAAATTTATGGAAAAGACACTGCCCATGAATTTACCTGTGGGCCAGAAGGTCCGCGCTCACCGGCACGACCTGGCTTGCCAGACTCACCCTGAGAGAATGAGAGAAAGAGAGAGGAGTGGGGAACAGATGGATTTACTTTTTCTTTCATATCAACTGAGGCCACTTGCAGATTGGGAATATCAGGTGTTACAGTCCACTTACATCCTCTCCATTCTTTCCAGGGGGGCCAGCAGCCCCACGTGGACCCATGGGACCCTGTGAAAAAACAAACAAATTAATTAAGATTGATGTCAAGCAATGAAGGAGTAGCACAGCTGTATAATTAATTCCATGTTGTTCATACTCACAGGAGCTCCAGCCTCTCCTGGCTCACCTGGAGGGCCAGCAGGTCCCTGGGGTCCCTGTAGAAGGAGACATACAGATTCATTACAACAAATTTTGAATTGTTACCATTTAAAAAAACAAAAACAATATAAAAAAAAAAAACATTGTGTTACTCTCAAGTTAAATCTGTTAGAAATATCCACATCCAGTATTATTTTGTGTGAGTCCAGATTAACTCGAACTATATCCACACGTACTACACACACCCTGTGATGAATTTGGATTTAACGTGTGAAAAGGTCATGCACAGGGCTGAAACAGCAAGGTGTTGAACAAAGAAAGTAATGCGATGTAAAAATACAGTTTTTAGGCTGAAGCTGATATAGTTGAAGGCGGAACTAAAACTTAAAATGTATTTAAGTGAGATGGTGATGCAAATTGTTGACTTGTTGAAATATGAGTTGTATGAACTATATAAACAGCACTATGTCTACAAAAAAGATTTATGAAGTCACAGGAAACGTGCTGAGATTTGCAACCTTCCACTGACTTTATGTGTCCATTTTTGACAACAGTGAGAAAAGATTCTGACTTTATTTTACAATTTATGGTGTTCACAAATCACTGTTTCAGAAATAATAATCATCAGTTAAGCAGAAAATGTTGTAATCATATGAATTATTGAGAGAAGGACGTGTCTTGCACTAGGCTGTATTGTCACAATGATATCACAATGCACATTGCTCATTCATTCATTTTTCTCAGATGCGATTTGTTTTGAGGAGTTGAGAAAGGAAGTTATGTACTCACGCTAGCACCAGGAGGTCCAGTGGATCCACGGGGTCCCATTGGGCCCTATCAGACAAACAGAGGCAAGATCAAATTTAGGACTGCATTGATTCACAAGGGCCAAAAAACCTTAAGTGTGTGTGAACGGATGGATGAATATCTTACCATGGGTCCAGGCACAGGCATGGCAGGGGATTTATCATCATAACCACCAGACATCTGAGGGGAGAAGTTCTTAGGGAAGAAAAAAACAAACCGTGTTAACAACAGAGCAAGATCTTTAGGTCATCTACCGTTTAAGTGGCCTAAAACTCAAAAACACTAAGGCAAAGTAGCATGTACCATGGACCAGCAGAGTTAAAAAATGTCTCTATTTCTTTTTTGTTTTTCTACATAACAAACAACAAGAAAAGAATTGCCAACATTTCATGAATAATGTTCTTTGGAGTTCACACATATCCATGACCTTTGACCCCATCACATTTGCTTGTTGATGTTGGTGTCTTGGTATGACTCGCTATACAAGTTGTAATTAATGGGCAATTGTTTAAAATAGCCCCTGTTAGCTTTAAAGTAACGATTGGATGGACATCTGGCACTTGTATTTTTAAATAAGTCATAGAGTGCTAATTAAACTTTAACAATTAAGCTAAATGTGTTAAAACTGTATGGAAGTTAAGCTTTTAAATAGTTTATAAACTAGGCTCTGGATGTTAGGTTGCTATTCAACTGATGTTTGGTGGTATTAGTGAGGTATAAAGTTTACTTTACTACATAAAGTAAATCAAAACATGATCAGGTGTATTTTCCAGACTCAGATGGCGTCATGTTAGCTTAGCAAGAGAAATTAACATCTGGTCACAGAAAAATTCTTCAGCAAAGTTAATATTAACAATGAAATGTTGGTTCAGTATATTGAACTTGAATGAGCATTGAGCTATAAGGTGGGCGAGAGAAATGTGGCTGTGAGTATCAGCTTAGCAACTGGTAGCACAAATATTCATGCATAGCCTATCTGGTTACATTTCCAGATAACCTCAAGCATCTTTCAACATGAAGTCCTGAACTTTTCAGTCTTTTCCATGACAAATGTGTATTTTGAGATCATCAAGGTGATTTAATGTTCAACTTTCATTTATGAGCATTAACTTCTCCAGCTCTGCCCTAAGCTGGGTGCATACCGAACCTGAACTAATTCTCTGGTTTGCGCGGGTCTGTCTTTATGCCTTGCACAAGTAAAATATAAAACATACTATTGAGACAAAAGGTGGTAAGCTTTCTAGAACATATATGCTGAAAAGCTAAGGAAAGGATAGGGAATATTGTTTTTTTCCCTACATGGTGGTCTTTTCTAAAATGCATATTTTAATTTAAACAAAGTCTGCAGAAGATGAAATGTTGATTAATAATAGAAAGGTTTTAAACAAACCTAGTTTGAATGCTCTCTGGACTACAAATGGCCAAATACAGAAAAAAATCTAAGAAATTATCCACTTACTCCACCGAGGCCAGGGGGTCCAGGAGGGCCGGGAGGTCCGGGCTGGCCATCCAAACCATCTCTGCCAGGAGGACCAGGAGGACCCTATAGATGGATGCAGATTTGGTTACTATCAAGAGTTGGAACAATTACTCATTTAGAGGTAATCAACCATAACTCACATCAACTACTTTTTGAGCCATGATCAGTGTGGTTTTTAGGTATTTAACGTTTTTTGTTTTGCAGACTTATTGATAATGGACACATCATGAACATGTAGATTACGCCTTAGGGAAGAGGACCTTCTGACCAATCAGGAATGGGCGTGTACGGGGTCATGTGACATCAGACTACAGGAAGTGGGTAAGGATGGACACTGATCTAGAAAGCTACATGTTTATGTTTAAATTTATATCAACATCACCGATGTAAACATTAATTAAATGACCAGGACAGACTTCAAAATAACATTCATCACTCTTTATGTCAGCTTTGACATGTGTTAGCAGCTGGGGAATCCAGCCCAAATGTAATTATTTCTAATTTATTCTACAATTGCAGTTTGGATTAAAGAGCATTAGTTAATGTCCACACAATGCCTACATTTTGTAAGTAATATACATTTTCAGGCCATAATGTTAAAAAAGAGAGACACGAGAATTAATTTAGATTTCTTGAATGATTTAAAACCAGTTAATATGATATTTTCCTTAGGTGCATTGAGAAAGAGACAAACCCACATCCACTTCCTGTTATAGTCCGTAAAAAAGTGAAAGCAGTTAAATGTATATGTTTCAGTGATATTTCTTACCACAGCAGTATGATAGAGCTTTTACTCCATAACATGTTCCATGTTGTCCAGACAGAATATTCCAAAAATACAAAAACCTAAAATGTGTCCTCACATATTTTTTTATCCTTTTTCTACATCAGCCTGAATTAAAACACATGTAGACATGACTTGTTTCTATGTCAGTGAGGCTGCTTCATTTCCAAATAAACACATAGAAATCAGTTAACCCGAGTGCCAGACCTTGAACACACCGTGACAATGAAGAGTGAGTGTTGACCTACCCTTGCTCCCTTGGCTCCACGGTCTCCCTTGGGTCCCTGTGAGTGAAAGTATGAAGATCTCATTATCAAAATAAACCTACTGATCAATCATATGTCATTTTTTCTGATCTTAGAAATGCAGCTAATCTTCAGTAATTTTTATCTGTTTGACTGACATATCTGATATTTTTAAAGAAAAAAACAAAAACTATATTGATTGATGATTATTTTCACATGATGCCTCAATTACCCATGAAAATGTATATCATGTGATGTGAGATTAGATACTGTCCATAAAAAAAAAAATATGTACCTCAACCTGAGCAGCCTGGAAGCCTGTAGGGGAGATACATATCGGTAAAGTTAGATCAGAAAGAATGTCACACATAAATATTTAAAATTTCTACAAAATAGTGCATTTATGCACAACAGTATAAGTAAATCCAAAAATAACGTAAATATATCACAAGGGGAAATAGTTATCGTTTCTTTCCACGAGGGCACGCTTTGTTTGGCGACAGAGAGAGAGCACATGTCAGCGATGTTGAAGAGATTTTAGGAGGCGAGACAAGACTTTTATCTTATCTTGGTATGACACCATGCTGAAACACAAGAAAAAGTACATTTGGATACAAATATAACAGAAGTATGATACCGTCGTCAGGGCAGATAGCGCAGCACTCATCATGGGGGACGATGGGGTTGGGGCAGTCTGCCGTGTCCTCACAGATGACCTGATCACACATCACTGTGCCGCTGTCGCACACACAGATCTGACATGGCTCTGGCTTCCACACATCCCGGTCAGCAAACACCTGGCCATCCATGGTACAGATGGTACTCTTACCTGAGAGGGATGACAGAGAGTATAGGTAAGGAACCTGTGTATGCACACACACTCTTATACAATCATCGATGCAATGACAACATGGGAGTAAAATTAAGAAAGTCTCAACAGTCATTAGGACTAGTGACTGTTGAGACTTTTGAAACCAATTCAAGATATAACTCAATAGGAGATTTTTCTCATTTAATCATCAACCAGGAGCCTTAATTTATTTTAACTCACTTAGTTTCCTTTTCCCCAAAACACTTCAATTTAAGTGCACAAGTTATACACAGTATTTCAAGGACTCACTATTTTAATATCTTCACTAAAATATTTAATAATGAAAGATTTTAATTTTTTGTAGGAAAAAACAATATTTACACACATTGTTCCACAATCTGTAAGGAAGTAGTTAAAATAAGTGTTGCGAGAGCTCATGACAGAAACCAAACAAGAGAAAGGGGTCAGAGGTGACAAAGGGGTCACCAGCATGCGGCCTCAGGATGCAGGCCACTCCATGGTTGTGCACTAAAAGACGCTAGTCCTGCCAACAGTACATGCCTCGAAGAGATTTCACCCTTTAAGCAGGAACCCAAAGGCATTTTTTATGCTCTGACCTGCATCGCTGCCTTTGCTGAGCATTTCTCAGCAGAATCTATCCCCCTAACTAGGGGCTCCCTTTAGAACCCTTATAAATCTTGCAGCATGCCAGACTGCTGAGCTCAGAAGGGAAAAGCAGGAGTGCTGCAGACTGTCGGCTTGGCAGCAGCTGGTGGAAACTGTGTACATGTGTTTGCAATTAGATGAAACAAAAAAAAAAAGTTGGAAAAAGGGAAGAGGAGGAGGAGAAAAGAGGGAGGGCGGAAGGCCGCACTGGAGGACGTGGCGGCCAGATGTGAGAGCAGCCTCTGGGTGTCACTATAAGACTGTTCAGAGGGTCAAGGCACATCTGCTAGATATAGACAGCTGAGGACTTTCCAGACTAATGGAACATCTGGAAAAACTGAACCTCAACTCCTCTGTTCTCATCCCCAGAAATGCTTTTCTTTGTCCTCTTGTTGGATGAAACCGTGCTCCTTAAAAGTTTAAGAATCCATCATTCTAAACTCCCTGATATCTTTTCAGGAGAGCTTTTCTGAACCCCTTGTAGACCTCAAAGGTTGATGCAAGTCATTCAGATATATCCAATAGACATGACCATGCATGCATCTCACCTACCTCTTCCACAAATACTTTTTCATTATGCGATTCTTTGGCTCACCTGTCCAACTCACCATATGGCCTCAGGCTGAAAATTACAGTGCAACATCAATCAGGCCTGTGCCACCTCAACTCTGTGACAGCAGGGCTGATATGCAAAGAATGCTTTGGGAAAAGTCAAGCAAAAGCATGTTTTTCTTCAGGACAATTCTCCAAGTTTTGGTGGGGTTGAGATCTGATCATGTCGGTGTGCCGACTTAAAAACCTTCGCCTGGAGGAAGACCAGGAAAACTTGCATCAACTCGCTCTGCATGCATATGGGGTGGGTTGGGGGGAGTTTGGGAGAGCTTGGCAGACATAAAGAAAAGGAGAGAGGGAGGCCTTCTCCAGATGCCCAATGCATTACGCACACTGTATTGTATAAAGTGCATTATCTATCTATCTATCTATCTATCTATCTATCTATCTATCTATCTAT